GAGGAAAGAAAGAGGAAAAAAATCACTCCTTCCTCTTCCCTGGCCTAACAAAGTGCTTTGTGTATAGTAATATTCTAGAGACACTGTTCAGTGAGGATGCTCTTGGAAATTTCACCTAAATTCTGTGCCTCAGTTTCCTCATCTTTAAAATGAGGGGGTTTGATCACATGACCTCTAAAGGCCCTTTTAGCTCTAAAGCTATGATCCTGATTAAAAGGAAAAGAAAAGAAAAGACCTGGAATGTGGGGGTAGGGGAGTGGAGAGGGTGCTCATCAATTGGGGAGTGGCTGAACAAATTGTGTGAGAATTGGAATATTATCTATCACACAACCACGAGAGAAGACGATTTTAGAAAATCTGAAGTAATATGGAGTAAGTAGAATCAAGAAAACTATTTATATACAAGGACAGCAAACATTGTAAAAAAACAACTTTGAAAGACTTAAGAATTCTGATCTTAAGAACAATAACTAACTATGTCTCCAGAAAAGCTATTATGAAACATGCTAATGTTACCCACTTCCAGACAGAGAGGTGATGAGCTCAAGGTGCTGAAAGATAGACATTTTTAGCCCCAGATGTGGATTCATGTTCTTTGAATATACTTATTTGTTACAAGGATTTTTTTTCTTTCAGTTTTTTTAAGTGGAGGTGGAGGTAAAAGGAAAAGTTAGCAATAGAGATTAAACAAGAAAGAAAGAAAGAAAGAAAGAAAGAAAGAAAGAAAGAGAAAAGAAAAGAAAGATGGTCCCTGAAAACATTTCTTAAAATGCACAGAAGAGGAAAAGAGGAGGTTGAGAAGGAACTACAGACCAGCAGGAGAGTTTTGAAAGCAACATGGAATCTATTATGTGCTTTTTTAAAGTAGTATTTTATTTTTTTCCCCCAATCACATGTCAAGACAATTTTTAGCATTCATTTTTACGAGACTTTGAATTCCAAACTTGTCTGTCTCCCTCCCTCCCCTCCCTTCTCCCTAAAATGGTAGGCAATTTGATACAGGTCATACATGTGCTATCATGTTAAAACATATTATATGCTTTTTTAAAAAGTGGAGTGAAATAGAGCTATTCGTAGTTTTAGATGCAATCCTCTCTTTGTTCTGCTGTATGTGTGACCCTGGACAAGTCACTTAACCCTGTTTGCCTCAGTTTCCTCATCTGTCAAGTGAGGTGGAGAAAAAACTGTCAAACCACTCCACTATTTTTGTCAAGAAAACCCCAAAGGGGGTCACGAAGGGTCAGACATAACTCAACCACCACAACAACAAATGTATATGGAAATGCTCCTTTGGTGTTTTAAGTTCAAAATTTTAAAACAAAATAAAATCTTTGATCCTATCATACGAACTCAAATCCTAGCAATGTCCTAGCCATGTGCCTTTGAGTAAATCCTTTAACTCCTCTGGGTCTCAGTTTCATCATCTGCAAAATCTGGACAATAATTCTTGCTCTTAGTATGTCCCAGGGTTACTGGAAGGAAAGTATTTTGTAAATCTCAAAGCATTAGAGAAATGTGAGTTATTATTAACTACCCATTTTTTTCAGTCCCTTTGCTCCTCTTATCAGCTCCCTTCTCTGGTATGTGGCCTGAGTCTGGACTAGAGATTCTGTTGCCACCCCTCACAGCTGTGAACAGTGGGCTCCTTTCCCAGGAGCCCAGAGTCAGGCCACTGCTTCCCTCTGCTGGCCCCAGGGGAATCTTTGGGCTTCAAACAACCCAGTGTTTATCCCCATTGAACCCTGTGTGCCCCAAAGCCCTAAAGGGGTCCTAAAACAGAGGAACAGTTACTAGAGCTTTGGGAACAGGGGAGTAACATAATCAAAGCTGTCCATTAGGAAGATTATTCTGGATGCAATTTTCAGGATGGAGTAGAAGCCAGAGGGACTGTGGGTGGAGAGACCAGTTAGAGCTACGCCCTAGTCCCAGTGAAATGTAAATGGAGGATTGAGCTACAGTGGTAATAAAAGGATGGAGTCCAGAGACATTTCAGGGGCTGAGTATGGTTGATGAAAGAAGAGTCAAAGATGAATTTGGCCTTTTAAGTTTGAGTGACTGGGAGAATGGTGGCATCTTAAATAGAAACCAGCAATCCAAGAAGAACTTTTTTTTTTTTGCAGGGGGGCAGAGCAAGGGGAGGATAAAAAATTCAGTCTTAGACATATCAAATTTGAAGTTCTAATAGGACATTTGAGGTAGGGATGTCTACCAGGCAGTTGGAAACATAAGACTGAAGCTTAGAATTGAAGGACAATCATGTGATGCACAGTAGGTGCTTTATGAATGATTAATTGAGAGAGGTAAAGGTATGAGAGAGTTTAGGGAGTCTTCTATATAAAGAAGATAACTGTAGTTCAGGGAGTGGATGAGATCACTAAGAGGCAGAGAGAGAGAAGAAGAGGACCAGTGGTAATCCCGGCTTGTTGTAAGGATTGAATGAGATAAGGATTGTAAAGCATGCTATTCTTGTTATTGGTGCTATTATTATTTCAGGAGGCAGGTAGGTGGCAGAGTAGATAGTGTGCTAGGCCTGAAGTGAAGAAAACCAGGGTTCAAATCCTGCCTCAGACACTTGCTAATTGTGTGACTCTGGGCAAGTCACTTAGCCTCAGTTTCCCTTTTTGTAAAATGGGGAAAATAACACCCACCTTATCAAGTTATTGTTAGGATTTTGTTCAGTCACTTCAGTCATGTTCAACTCTTCAGGACCCCATCTGGGGTTTTCTTAGCAAAGATGCTAAAATGGTTTTCCATTTCCTTCTCCAGCTCATTTGACAGATGAAGAAACTGAGGCAAACAGGGTACAGTGACCTGCCCAGGGTCGGACAGCTAGCAAGTGTCTGAAGCCAAATTTGAATTCAGGTCTTCCTGACTCCAGGCTTAGAGCTGTATCTATTGTACTACCTCACTGCCTGTTGGAAAGATTAGATGAGATAATATGTCAACAGAGTTCCACAAACCTTCAAGCACAATATAAATGCTATAACAATGATGATGGTGATGATGTGTGAGGGGTAATGTGGTACAGTGGATATAGTATTGGCTTTGGAGTCACCAAACTTTAATTTGATTATTTGTTCTGCTACTTAGTACCTGTCTGGCCATCACAATGTCCTTTAATCTCTCTGGGCCTCAGTTTTTTCATCTGTAAAATGGAGGAGTTATTCTAAACGGCCTCTAAGGTCTCTTTCAGCTTTTGATTTATGATCCAATGACCCTGTGCTAGGTGTTGGAGATCCAGAGATAGAATAAAATGAAAATGTAACTAGGACTGAGGGTTGTTCAATTCATAATCATGATCAACCAGGGGGAGCCTGATTAGATAGCTCTAGAACAGTAGTGTCAAATGCAGATAGAAAAGGGGCCACCACATGCACATAAGGATCTCATAGGTCACATGTTGACTTAGAAAACCACATCTTAACATTATTTATGTTCTATTCTATTTTTATTTATTTTGTTAAATATTTCCTAATTACATTTTAATCTGCTTCAGGCAGGCCATTGGGAGTATTGCAAGAAAGGGCTTCTTCTTGGACACCTCTGCCCTAGATTATACTAGCATTGTAGGGTGCATCCCCTAATACTTCCAGAATAAAGAGCCTGAATATTTCTTGTCATTCAATTTCAGCTCAATCACTAAATGTATTCATATGATTACATGAAAGAATGGGAAAGAATGTTCTTCCCCACCCCCACCCCACCCCTTGCCTAAACACATTGAAGACCCCGCAAAGAACTGACAAGCCTCTGTGATGAGCCAATTTGGGATCTGCTTAAGCCATACTTAAAATGGGGACAATCTACATGTGAATGCTTGCAGATGGAGCCTGAATGTGTTTATGAACAATGGTGGAGTGATTTTATGCAGGAAGCGGCTATAGAGAGAACTTGACGTTGAATATGGAGTTGCATCCACTTATATGTCAATGTGATGAGGCTGAAATTGCTTTGACCCCCTGTAGTTAGTAGATTATCAAATTTCATGTCTTGTTTTGTGGAGGTAAGGCTATTCTGATAATCTTATGTGGGATTCATTAGCCTTGTGGCCAGAGCTGGAACCAGAAGTAGACAAGATAGGCAGCCACCTAGAGCAGGGGTGGGGAGCCTGCATCCTGGAGGCCACATGTGGCCCTCTAGGTCCTCAAGTATGGCCCTTTGACTGAATCCAAGCTTCACAGAACAAATCCCATTAATAAAAATATTTGTTCTGTAAAACTTGGACTCAGTCAAAAGGCAGCACCCAAGGACCTAGAAGGTCACATATGGCCTCAAGGCCACAGGTCCCCCACTCCTGACCTGGAGTGTAACTTGTGATGGCCCTAAAGAAGAGATATTTTTTAAGGTAGCTGTGGTGCCCATAGAACATGTGTGGAAATGGTTCTAGAGGGGCCAGCCCAGGAACCATGCCCTTGGAGTCCCCTGTATACTCCCTAACATGGCCCCTATAATGATCTACTACATTAATATTACTTCTTATACATGAACATATGTATTTTTAACATCTGAAAATCCTGTTCTCTTTGGTTCGAAGGTACTCATTTGGTGCTGTCAATTTGCACAAAGCTGTGCATACAGTAGGTGCTAAATATGTTTACCTTTCAGTAAAGGCCCAAATGTTCTCATGAAAACACAGAGGATGCAATAGTAAATGTGTTTGGAGGAAAGGCAATGGTACAATGTTTAAACTCTTGCCTAGTGTTCAGAAATTCCTGGTTTGGGCTCTGTGATCTCTCTAGTCTAAGACATTATTTAGGATTCCTCTCTCTTCCCTGCTCACCCTTGAAGATTTTATTTTGAATGCCCCCAAGCTATAACTGAGAGCGGCAATTGGATTGAGTGATGTGAGTGGTGGAAAGGGTGGGATGGGCAGTACAGAGAGGAGGAGGAACGTCCATTCTAGGGAGTCTAAACCCACCGCCTCCCTCCACCTCTACTTCAAACCCTCCTATGACCATTTAAAGGCAGGAATTCTTTCCACACTATAACATGTAAATATTTTTTAATGCATAATTGTGGCTAGGAATTTCAGTGTCCCAAGGCAGGCTGTGGCTAGATTTGTGTACTAGCTCAGCACATTTTCTAGAATTCCTCACCCTGGGCACATTTAACCACGTTAAGACAGGCAGTTGTTGTTGATGAGATCAAAATGTTGAAGTAGAAGCCGATACCTGAGTTTGAGAACCGTAGCCAGAGAGGTCTAACCTCACCTAAAACTTTATCATTCCTTGGCCAAGTCACTCAATTATTTTTATTTCTCCGTTGTCTTATCAAGGGTTTAAATCAGGTAACAGTGGTCAAAATGTAAGACTCCCTGCCTTTTTTATTTTCCTGTGAAGTCAAGTCTCTATCACGTGAGGGGCCTGAGGACCAGGCGTTTGGACAATATTAGGGAGGTCCAATGCTGTCTTTTTTTTTCTTTAAATGTCAAAGTCTTCTAATTTAAAGTACTACCATGAAGTGTTTTAAGGCTGGTTATACAGCAAAAAGATTATATTTAGTCAGACGGTTCTTAAGGGCAGAACTATGCCCAATGAGTAGAAATTACAGGGATTCAGATTTGAGCCCAATATAGGAACTTCCTGACAATTATAACTGCCCCCAAATAGAATGGGCTACTTTGTGCAGTCATGAGTTCACCATTAATCAATGACCATTTGTCAAAGATGCTGTAGGAAGTGTAAATGCTTCAGGAAGGGGTTGGAGTAGCTGATGTCTAAATTGACTTCTAACTCAAGATTCCATGATTCTAAAATAGATGCTGATAACCTTCTTTAGGTGATTTTGCATGAATCAGGTAAGGATTCTGATGGATCTCTGATCTCTGTCATGTGGGTACTCCAACCAGAGCTACAGTTTGAAAGACAGCCAGGCCCTTACATCTTGTGCCATTCTTGTCCATATCCTCTTGTAAATCCCTGACACAGGGATTGTGGTGGTGGTCTTCTTTTAGTTCTCTTGATGTTTCCTGGGTAAAAGTAGAACATATGGGCCATCCATCAGTTATTCCCTCCTTCTTGCCATTCCCACCTTCTTGCCCTAACTATATTGAATGTCCAGACACCCAGATTTGGTGGCACCATTCATTTGAAAATAGTACAAGTCACAAGTATTTATCAAATGTCCCAAGCACTGCTGGGGATACAAATACAATTAAAGAGAAAGACAGCTTCTGATCTCAAGGAGTTTTCTAATCGGGAAAGACAAAACACAAAAGACATATTCTAAAGGGGTACAAACATACATAATAGGGAGCTGAAAGTAAAGTGGGGTTGGGGAAATGGGAAGAGAGAAACTACTTTTGAGGGGCATAGTGGCAAAGTGTAGCTGGCCTGGGCCTTTCCCCAAAATGGAGACCCTAGAAGGAATTCATCTTCATATGACAAATCAAAGGGTCATAGATCTAGTCCCTGGAAGGAATTCACCTCCATAGATCTAGAGAGACCCTGGAAGGAATTCACCTTCATACCGTAAGTCATAGGTCTAGACTCTAGAAATAATTCACCTTCATACCATAAGTCATAGATCTAGACCCTGGAAGGAATTCACCTTCATACAACAAGTCATAGGTTCATGGATTTAGATCTAAAGAGGATCTCAGAGAGGGTGTCTTGTTCAAGCCCTTTATTCTACAGGTAAGGAAATTAGTCCTGGAAAGGGTGACTTTCCAAGGTCACACTGGTAGTAAGCACTGGAAATAGCATTTGAATTCAGGTCCTCTGACTGAAGAGCCTCTGATTCTTTCTACTGTGCTCTGCTGCCTCCCTCAAAATCTCAAAATGCCTTTTAAAACAGTGTTTTTCCATCTTCCCAAGTCTCTGTAGGTGATGTTGCTAGGTGACGTGATATTTTCCCAGCCTGCGTGCACTGTGCCCATCCTGCGGGCTTTGTGGCTCTTTGGCTGTACTCTCCCGTGTCTGCTGACTCACATTCTTCCTGTGTCTCATGATTTGGGGGAGGACGAATTATTTCAATCTCTCTGAGAAAAGTCTCTCAGCTCACTGCTTGACGATGAGTTTCCAGTTTGGCTCCTCCACCTTGCACGTGTACCAGCTTTTATGTGGACACCCAGAGATGTCCTTGCACACGCGTGTGTGTAGTCACATTCACTAACACACACTTAAATCTTCTTTTGACAATTTCTGAAACCAAGTCAGTTGCACAGTCAGCAGCTTTTATCATAGTGTGCCTTGGTTTCTCTACTGTTTGAACGCAGTGTTTAAACACATACGTACACATATACCCATAACAGTCCTCAAACAATACAACAAAGGTTACTTTGAATGCCCTGATTCCTTTCTGAATAAAACATAACATGAAATACTGTATTGTTAGGTGGTTATGTGTCATTTTTTTTTTTGGCTAGGCAATAAGGTTAAGTGACTTGCCTAAGGTCATACAGCTAGTAAGTAAGTGTCTAAGGCTGGATTTGAACTCAGGTCCTCCTCACTCCAAGGCCAGTGCTTTATCCACTGCCTCATTTTGTGTCATTTTTGATGGACAGGTTCAGCTGTCTGCTTCTATTTGTGGAAAGGGTAATATGATATTGGTGAAAGCATGACACCTTGTAAAAAGGAGAGGAAGGAGAGGATGATCTTTGGGTTTTGGTTTTTTGGGGAAGATATGGCTGGAGTAGTTGGATTTTTGGACCATCATATTCAATGGAAATCTGTTTTCTCTCCTGTCAGAGGAAGCATAGTCAATAAATCTCAAAAAGGAACAGTTGTCTCCCGGCTCCATTTAAAAGTTCACTGTTAACCTAGCATAGAGCAAGGTTTTTTTTTCCCCCTCTCCTTTGTGATTGCTCAAAGCTAGCCTAGACCTGGCCACAGGTGTGTTTTGTTTTAACAACAGCAATAATAATATTAATAATAGCTAGTATTTATATGGCATCTACTAAGTACCAGGCAATGTGCTAAGTGCTTTACAGATGTTTTATTTGATTAAGTAAACCACAACTGTATTTATTATTGGTCTGAATATAGGCCGCTCCTGAATGTAGGTCATATCTAGAAAATGAAAATGAGCTTCCTCTAAACAGAAAATAGGTCTACACTCAAAAACCATGCTGATTATGGGTCACAGTCAAGTTAATACAATCCAGATTTTGAGGAAATGATGCTTATTATATTTGGGCTAAGGGAGCCCAAACGGAAATCCAGATTCATACAGATGGTAAATTAGGGGGGTGATTATTTGTTCTCCAGAATGATCTGCTCTAGGATTACTTTAAGTAGCAAGATCCCTTAGTGCACTGAAAATATAATTCTATTTGTAGACATTCTGCAGAATAATAATATCCTGTCAAATATCATTAACTGGGTCCATAAAAAGGTGATTTATGATATAATAGCACAACAAAGGGCAGTTATTCCAAAGCAACAATATTGTAAGTATCAAGAATCTCGTGTTATTCCTGTAGGGTTTTGTGAATTTAGAGGAGAGTTTGGCTTGAAGGAAGGAAGGAAGGAAAGAGGAAGCATTTATTAAGTGTTTACCAAGCCCCCTGTGGATACAAACACAAAAATGTGACGTTATTGGTACTCAAAGAGCTTAAATTCTAATGGGGAAGACAACACATACAGAGGATGATGGCTAGGGTGGAATATTTTGGATTGAAAAACTATTTGGTTTGAAAAATGACACATAGTGGCTGTACTACCCCGGGCAAGTGATTTAACCATTTAGTGCCTAAGAAGCAAGATACTTAAGTTGAAGAGCAAATATATGTCTGCATTGGTAGAGGGAACTTGCTCACTAGAAGTATCCTGTTCTAGTAAAATCACATCTGATACAAAACCAAAAAGATTAATAGACCAAAATATGTTTAATCATTCTCCATTGTTGGTGGCTAAGGCTATTTACAGGTTTTTGCAATCACATTTAAAGCTGCTGTGAAAATCTTTAACGTATCAGCAAAGTGATTGTGGAGTAAAGTTGTTCTGGACAATGTTATATAGGGTAATACCTTATATTTGTGTGTTTGTCTGTTTACAAGGCACTTTCATAGACTTCATCTCCTGTGATCCTCAAAGTAACATCTAGGTGTCCTGGTAGACCACCTAGATTCTAGAGTCAGGAAGACTTGAATTAAAATCTGGTCTCAGATAATACTTACTAGCTAAGCGGCCCTGAACAAATTACTTAACCACTGTCTGCCCCAGTTTCCTTCTTTATTCACTGGGGATCATAATAGCATCTACCTCTCAGAGTTGCTGTGAGCACAAAATGAGATAAAATGTATTTGTAAAGCACTTTCGATCCAAAAAGCTCTATATGAATTCTTATTGTTATTCCCCTGTTCCCACCAAGGAAGTATATGGCTAGGCCACCTTCAATACTCCTGATCCTGAGAGCTAAGCAAAGTCCTGCCTAGTATGGACAGTAGCCTGCTTAAAAGCAATGACAGCTGACTCAAGTGGAGATCCACATCTCCTATCAACCATTACTATGATACCTCATTTGCACAAGGAAGGAACCCTGGATTTTTGAGAGCTTATGAAACAGAAACATGAGCTGTGTCAGGTCCTACTGAACTGAAAAGATTTAGACTAAGGGCCCATAAATGGACTGGGCATCAGCTGAGGAAACTGAGTCCCAGCTAGTTTATATGACTTACCCACAGTCACATAGGTAGTACCAGAGGCAAGATTTGAACCCTGGCCCTCTGAATCCAGTGCTCTTTCCACACTGCTTCTGAGGACCAGTCTACCTAAGTGTGAAGAATTTCAGCCAGAGAAGACTGGTAGACCAGATACTGTCCCTTTTCTAGGAGAATTTGCTCTAAGATTACTTTTAGGTAACAAGATCTCCTAGTGTACTGAAAATATACAATCCTTTTGCAGAAGTTCTGCCCAGTGAGAATCAGGATGTTGAGAAGCCAAGAGGCCCTGTACATGAGGAGGCTCTGTAGGGAGCTTGATTCCAGGACTAGAAATCGGACATCAGGCTGCGGTGACTGGTAGTAGAGATAATGAGGATTTCCAAGCATTGAGTGGTGACTAACATCTGTGTTCCTTCCAGAACATCGAACTGAAGGTGGAAGTAGAGAGCCTGAAGAGGGAAATCCAGGAAAAGCAGCAATACCTCGATAAAACATGGTGAGCCACCTCTCAGTGATTACCTGAGCTCTGGTCCGTCCCATCCTCCAGGTGACTCTGTGCTGTGATTGCTGCTGGCTTGCACATATTTGAAAAAGTGAACAAACAGCACTGGACCCCCAAAGAACTCCTGACTTGTTCCTCTAACTCTTACTACACTGGGGACAATGGGTGCCATATCAATATGGTGGCATGATTCAATACAATCCAGTGTAGCAACAAACATATATTACATGCCAGCTGTATCAAGGTATCATGATAGGAACTGAGAATACAAAAATGAAAAATAGTAGTTAGTGGCTCCCCATTGTCTTTGCATCACTGGTTCTTGAACTTTTTGGTCCTAGAACCAAAAATGATGAAGGGCCTCCCCTCCTCCAAAGAGCTTTGATGTTGGCTATAGGTATAGATATTTACCATATCAGAAATTAGAATATTATTATTATTTAGTATTTATTATTATTATTATGGAAACCATTTTGACCTTGACGACCCCCTGAAAGAGTCTCAGGGAATCCCAGGGGTCTCTAGACCTTACTTTTTAAGAATTACTGCTTTAGACAAAGAAACCATTCCTCTTTTGGCATTTAAATCTTTTCACAATCTGCCTCCAATGTTCTTTCTAGATTGAATTCACTTTCCTCCTTCTCATTCACTCCCTATAAACAACATTCAGGCTCTTGCCCAGAATGCTTTCTCCTCACCTCTGCCTTTTAGAATCTCCAGCTTCCTTAGAGGCTCAGCTGCCCACCTCAGGAGGCATTGCCTGAGCTCTCCTTCCTCCCAGTTGTTGGGCTCCACTCCCTCCCCAAAATTACTTTGTTATGTATGTGTTTTATCTTCTTTTCTGTGTGTACATCATTATTTC